TGAGTAAACTGGTGGCGGTGGGGGAGGCGAATAAACTGGTGGTGGTGGCGAGTAAACTGGAGGGGGTGGCGGAGGTGAATAAACTGGTGGTGGTGGTGAGTAAACTGGAGGGGGTGGTGGAGGCGAATAAACCGGTGGTGGTGAGTAAACCGGAGGGGGTGGTGGAGGCGAGTAAACTGGTGGTGGTGGTGGTGGTGAGTAAACTGGAGGGGGTGGTGAGTAAACTGGAGGCGAGTATACCGGTGGTGGAGGTGATGATATAACAATAGGAGGAGAGGGCACCGGGATGGGAGGTGAAGGTGGAGGTGGAGCTGGCAGAGATGGAACAAAAGGTGTACATCTGAAAGCACTACAATGCACAGGGCGAGACAAGAACGACTTACATTGCGACGCTGACCTCTGTGCTGGCCTCTCCGGTAAACAATTCTTCTGATCATCGAAGTCCGGAAGACTCAAGCACACTGGCGGCTCGCCTGTGAAGTAATTATACGAATAAGTGAAGTTCTTCAAGTTGGGAAGCGAACAGATCTTCGCTGGTATCGTTCCCGAGAGCATGTTGTGAGCCACATTCAGCTGTTCCAAGCTCAGCATCCCTCCAATAGTATCAGGCAATGGCCCCATTAGCTGGTTGAAACTCAAATCCAACACGGTTAGTTCCTTCAACAACCCGATCTCCGTCGGCACGCAGGACCGGAACCCGTTCTTCATCAAAATGATTTCGTTGAGCGTCTTGGACATGTTACCCAAGCTGGCGGGAACACATCCGTGGAACTTATTGTTCGCCAGAACAATCACCGAAACAGGCGAGTTCCCCAAATTATCCGGCAGATCGAAGGCAAACCTATTGTGGTTTATGAAAATGGCATCAAGATCCTTATCAAAGAGTTCTCTAGGAACCTTACCTTCGAACTCATTAAAACGAATGTCCAGATACTTCAGCTTAGGCAACCGGAGAACAACCTCCGGGAACTTCCCGGCGAACCGATTATTACTGAGATCCAACTCGAACAACAACTTGAGGTTCACGAACTTGTGAGGCACGGTGCCGCAGAATCGGTTGGAGTTGATGTGGAACAATGCAATGTCGGTAAGCAACCCTAGCTCCTCCGGCAGGTAACCGGCGATATCGCCATGATTGAGATCAATGCCGGCGACGGTCTTGATGGACGGATCATCGAGCGCACTAGTGCAGAAAACGCCAGTATAGTTACAGACATTAGATCCGACCCAGTTACTAGTCAGATTCAACGGATCGGAGATGATAGCTTGTTTCCAAGCTTGCAACGCAATATAGGCGTTCTTTTGTCTAGGGTTTTCGAAGACGAGGGAAGGATCAACTCTCACATGCTCTCCCCTGTCACAGAACTCGTCCCTGTAGTACAAGAGCTGCCTCTGTTGAATGTACCTAGCTTCGGCGTCCGTGAGGCCGCCATTGCTAGAAATGACTACTCTCTCGGAAGAGCTAGACTGAACAAGCGAAGAAAGAGCAAGAAAAGTAGAGAAGAAGGGGAGAAAATCCAGAGGCAGATGACGAAGATGGAGGTAGCTCTTCTCCTTCATCTCACCACATTGAGCATTTGATGATCTTCTTCTCCTTTTTCCTTTTCCTGATTTTTGTCTTTCCTGCTTCACAAATGCAGAGAGAGAGAGAGAACAGGAGGATGAGAAGAGGAGGAAGAGAGAAGGTGTGCGCGTTGAGCTTGAGGAGAGAGAGAGGAGAGAGGGAGGGTTTTTTCTAGGGATTTTGGGGAAAGTGAAATAACATCAAAACAGCTAAATCACAGCTCAAAGCCGACGAGATTCTTTCTTTCTCTTTCCCTCATTATCCCTATCTATTTGTTTTCTATTCTTTTCTTTTCGTTTCTCTCTCCCTCTCTCCTCTCGGAATCCAACTTTTTTTATTCTCCCTCTCTTTGAATCGCCTTCCCACCCGGCCCAACAATCTAAAGCTTCGAGCATTAAACCAGTATTATCCTAATTAATCTTTTTTTAATGAAAGTCCGAGCTGGTCGGACCGAAATCGTGAGATTTTGGAATCGTTTTTCACTTTTTTGTTTTTTCTTTTACTCGATATTTTGAAATTTTCCGGCAAGAGAGAGAGAGATGGACGTCTTTTAAGACCACTGGAGTTGTTTTGTCTCTTTGTAACGGGTGTCGGTCCGGATGACTTCGAACAGTAAATGCAATGCGGTTTAAAATACCGAAATTGTCCTCCGATCGTATTTTGTTTCTTTCTTACCGTAGTCGGAATAAGCGGGGATATTCCCGCGGTTGTAAGCGTGACAACGTGAGGAATTGTGATTAGCGTACAAGAATTCTACCTACGTCTACCCACCCACATAACATGGCAGTCACACATGTTGACGTGCGTAGAGTTTTCTTGTGGGCAGTAGATCTCGAGTCTTATTTTTGGTAGAAATAAAGGGTAAATCGGTCAATTAGGAGGACGGAACAGGATGTGGGTAAGGGTAGACAGTGATTAACGAAGTAAAGGGTCTAGGTTTTGGGTCGGGTACAGTAGTACCGGAGGGAGCATGTATGGGTCACTACATGCAATGCGATGCATGGGATAGGACATTGAAATTTATGATGACGTTGATGTCTCGGTTCGGGCCGGGGTGGGTCCCGCCCAATCACTCCTCTCCTCAGAGAAAGCGACATCATGCATGCATGTGAGTGGGCCCACGTGTCACGTCATGCCCGGCTGGATCGTCGGCGCCGTGGCCCGAGGGTCTATCCTATTGCTCAGATACATCGCGTCCCGTGACCGCGACGACCTCCTGCCACGTCACCATAACGGATTTGCATACGATCGGACGACACGGTTTGTTTATTTCTTTCGATGCTGCTTTCAGTGCTCTGTATGCCTCAAAGCTCACACACAGTTCAGCGCTACCAAACGCGTTTCGTGTTTCGATAGCTATCACGGATGGACTGAATTGCCCTTTCGCTTTCAACTGGATCTTCACAAGTCACAACCATCGTCGGGTTAGTTACGTAATTTAGCCATGGGAATGCTGAGGGGGATGTCTTTTTCCCTTGCCACGTGGCTATTATGAAGTCACAGTCCGGCAATATAGCTGTATTCCTTATTGCATTCCACGTGGCTCTCCTCTATGGGAACGAGCCAATAGTAGCCAACGACCCGTCCGAAGTCTCGACTATRACTGGTTGGAAGTTTCAACAGACCGCCACGTGTTAATTCCTGTCATATGGCATGAGGAATTCATTCTGAGTTCTCGCTATGGCATGTACTTTGCTTGTGCTCTCGCCTTCTTCTCCGTCCGGTCTGGTCTGTGTAAGGGTAGTTCGGGTCCCAAACCGATAAAAAACCAGCGTATCCAATCAATAATCGGGTCAGGTTCCAGTATATAGTTGAGTCTGGTTAGGATATATTTCAAAATTTTTATGCACTTTAACATTGCATCAATTTACATGAAATGCATCATAGGTTTTGCCTTAGTTAATAATATATAACGATCTCATTATCATTTTTATTGTAATTTTATTATATTTTATACATATGAAAGTGTAAATTTGATGACGGTATAAGATGATATTGTTAAAAACATTTGTTTTAACATATAAATAGTTTACTTTTTACCAAGGTTTTGAAAATCGGATCTGATCGGACGGTTAGACGGATTCACCCTAAAACCATTCTTTTGTCAGCAACCTGTTGATCAAGTGATCATACTGTCGGCTTGTTAAATTGGACAGCATTTTAGTCATTTTTTATTTTAATTATTATTTTATTTTTTATTTTTTAATTAGAATAGGTCATTCATTTGAAGTGGGATGGTCGAACCATTGACTAAAAAATCGGTTGCTAAAGCAATTCTAGTTCTAGAACGGTTTTTAAAACATTGCTATTTACTGTTATTCTTATCAAGGCTATAGTGTCAAAAACGAAATTCCAAGTTGTTATTTATCAAGGCTATAGTAGATGTTGAGTATAATTGAGTCTAATTGGATCAGACCTGAATATCCTAATTGATAATTGATTCAATTTGGAGCCCATTTTATGGAAGCAAATAATAGGGGTGCTCACGGTTTAGTTAACTGAACTGTGGGCTTTTTTTTATAACCGAACCGATACTACCTGTTTTTGGAAAACTGGTAACAAAAATCAAACAAAAATATATAAAATATATAGAAACATATGTATAATGGTCGGTTCGATTGACCGTTTAACTAATTTTTCGGTTTGGTTTCGATCACTTTTTTTAGTTGGTTCAGATTTTCGGTTTTTTTGCTCACCTCTAACAAGTAATAATAATTGAACCGGGTCCACTCATCCTAAATCAGACCCGACCGGTTGGCAGCTATGGTCCAATTCGGTCTTTTAGGTAAGAAACCTAGAACCAACCGGATTGCTGATCAAATTGGAACAAATAAATTATGCTACAATGGGGACTCGAAATCAAGAAATGACATTTAATTCCAATGACCAACCAGAACCAAACACTCATCCAACTTTTTATATAAAATGACTCAAATGCCCTTGAATGACCACCCCCCCCCCCCCCCCCCATTAAGCGGTCAAAAGTTGGCCCATTTATCTGCTGCACCTGTGAACTTCCAGTCAGTCCTTAGCAGGTATCCCATTGCATAAACAGGGCTACTGGAAAGTGCAGATAAAAAAGTGCAGCAGATTTGGAGTCATGTCAAATTCCATTTCCACCATTCGGGTGTCAATTCCAAGGAGAATAAAAAAAGTGGATCAATTCTCATGAATCTTAAATGAGACATGAAAATGTTGCAGTCCAAACCTGAGATCCTCATGTTCCATATCAACTTTGATGGGTTTGGGTCATTACAAGAGATCCGTATTCCAATGGTATGGTTTGTTTTATACCATTACTAGCAATGATTTGTTGATGAAAAATGCTTATTAGGTGGCAGTGTTTTCTTGGAGAAATGGCATCGGGGTTTCCAAACAGGTGCTAAACCAACCAAACCCAAATGCATATCTGGTTGGGAGAAATAGATATCAATACGAGATTGATCCTCTCATCCATTCTGGATCCGACAATGAATTTATATTTATATCCTATTCAAATTCGAAATTAGATTCTATGGAGGTTCAGTTCTACGCACATTAACATTTTGGGGACACGGAATGACCATCACAACTAATTAAAGGGTGATGGACCACAGAATTCCAACTTAATGGTAGGCATATTGAAGGGGGTCTCCATTTGGGGAGATGGAGGGGTTTTGCTTTTACAGGGCACATGGGAATGGGTCAGGTTCCAGAGTTCCACCAAGAAGTAAGAACCCACTTTGCCCCAGAATCGGGTTTTGGTCCCTCTCAAATGGGAAGGGGAATGAATCACTTGGATGAGTCCAAATTGGCTGGACCAGCTCAAGAAAATGATTTGGGAATTAAGGATATATTTGTAAAATGCAAAGAACTCAGCAACTTCATTTAGTAAATAAGTGGCAGGAACTGGGAAAGGGAGGAGCGTTTTGTGGTCACGGATCTCTCTCTCTCTAACTGTAAGTGGAGGATGCGGAGATTGAGAGAGAAAGGCGAAAAATAAAGAAAGCAAAAGATGAAACGCGTGGGAGGAGCGGAGAAAAAAGGGAACGTTTTCATTCTAAATATTCACTTCTTTCTTTTACTTTACAGTTTACATCAATAACTATTCAATATTGTCTTTCTAATATTAAATGTGGAAGGGGTATTAACTATTAACTATGAGGGGAAGCCCAGAAGGAAGAAGATCCTGGTCACGCAATTTGCGGGTAAATCTTCCTCTCTTGTTAATTCTATTTTATATATTTATATATTCGATGGTCCCTACTTCTGAGTTCTGAGTCTGAACTCTGACCCTCTTCTTCTCTTGACCACTTAATCTTACACTTGAGACCTCTTTCTTACCTTTTTACTAAAACCTATTTTATAGCTTGTGTTTTACTAAAACACCCCATCTACTTGATTAACCTATTATGTTAGATGAAACTCATGAAAGTGAAAATGACAATTTTGACCAAGGTTTTAAAAACTGGACTGGATATGAAACTGTTTTGGTTATCAATTCTTAGTGAAATGATTCAATTGTTTGATTCAAATGGATGGTCTGTTCTGATACATTCTTTTTTCTTTTCCTAAAACAATTTCCACTCCATTTAGGTGATCACATGACCATTTTCACAATACAAACAGCCCTCACTAGAATGTCAGTTAAGTAGATTGGTTGCAAACCACAAAATAAGTTTTAGTAAATCTGTGAAATTATAGGGAGTGTTTTAGTAAATGAATTTTTTTAAACCCTTCTTCATTTGGATTTTCTCCTTTAAGCCCATCATTCTTCTGAGTTACCGGGAGGTCCAGTATTCGGTGACCAGCATCAGCAGTTAGGAGGAGGATGGAAAAGTAAAATGAGGCAACTGGGTGCAATATGCAAGTGGACCCCAATTCCGAAACAAAACAAAGAAAGAAGCAAAGGTCTATGCCGTGGCATACACGCTCATGTGTGGGCTCGTATGCTTACATCCATCATATTTTATCATACCATTTGGTCATCATGCGGAACATCCATCATTCATTCATCCGTCATGGTGCATGGATCCCCCCTCCCCCCATCCCTCAGTTCTAGGCTACTAAATACTCCACCAATTGTCTTTGAACTACTACAACTCCACTACCCAATATTATTATCTACCTTCATCTGTCTGACTGTGGTTTTAAACCTTGTCATCAACACATTAATCTTCTAATATCAACCTCATCAGGTTCCGGGACCACCTTCCAAAATCCAATCTCCAATTGATTTAGTTTGTAGAAAATAGGACCAGAGAGCAAGGGGACTTGTGATAGGATGCGCCATTGGACTACGGAGCTCCTGCTACCTAAATTTAAGCCAGAAATTGGGGGTCTAAGGCCCCACTAACACGGGCAAGAAAGCAACGCTACTAGCTTGTCACCATTAAATACGTGGTGCTCATTAATGGATGGGTTAAAAAATTGGTGATCCCCAAGTCAATCCAGGCCGTCCAATTCAACGGAGAAAAAAAAATGTATTAATAATATATAAGTGTATTACCAAACGGGTCCTCAATGAAATGTCGTTTACTCAAACATAAAGACATCAGAACAGATGAATCATTCCATATATAAATTTACGAACACATAGAGATAGAGTTCCTTTACAAGTATCAAACGATGAATTTGTCTGAACGTGAGAGCAGTGTTGGGTCACTTGGAAGGAGGGAGATCAGAGGTGGGGCGGCGAGTGTAGTTCATTAAAACGCGTGGTGTCCGGAATCTGTTCAAACCACCAAAGGCACCAACCAACCAACCCAATTATCTACGATTCGATGGATTCGTACCCATCTAAGAAGCTGAAGCCAGCTCAATCATCCCAAATTCCTCAGACGAATATATTCACTTCATTTCTAATATAATTTATTTTACACCAAATTCAGGCTGCAATACAGATTTTTCTTAAATCATGAGATAAAGAAATAAATGAGATGGACATGGACCCACTTTTGATGCTGCCGGAAATCATGCACCGTTAAAAAAAGGAATAAACGTATAATATGATTGGCATGATTGAATTCGGTAGGTAGCATCCAGATTGAATCACTTAAAACCTTATTTTGTACATCGAAACATAAAATGCAGACAAAAGTTCCATTAAATTCTCCTGATAAATCAGAAATGTAGAGAAAAAAGGGCTCAACCGACAGATTTTTTTACTCGCTATTGCTCACAATGGTACAAATAGACAAAAAAAAAAAAAAAAAAAAAAAAAAACGCCTCTAAGAATCTGCCAAAATATAAAAAAAATGTAAAAAAGAAAATAATTGAAGTTGGGAAACTGTTTATAATATATATATATATATATGTGTGTGTGGCCAAAGGCAAAAAAATTCCATCCGCCGCGAGTTCACCAGCTACCTGAAACAACCGGCTCCTCCCCTCTATCTGTCCTCGTAAATAAAGGTCAACTTGATCAAAGGCAAAGCTGAATGAGGACAAAACGAAAATAAGTTAAAAAGAAAGAGACGGTGCTTTATCCACAAATGACTAGAGAATCGTTCTCTTTTTCCTTTTCCTCCTTCGACTTTATTTTGGAGAATGTCGTAAGGGAATACTCTTCCTTGAGAACGATCCAGTTGTATACTTGGAATCTTTAAATAAATATATGCATTGGAGCCTTGACAAAGAGAGAGAGTAAACAAACAAACGAGAAACAACTAGAGGCAAACGTGGAGTCGCTACAACCCTAATCAAACTTATAATCACTGCAGAAAAACAATTAAGATGGGTCCACCGTGACACCTATCCCAGGTCCCACCGAGAATCCTTGTCCTACGCCATGTATTAATCCAGCTGTAATCCTCAAGTGGAAGTAATCCTATTCGAATGAGACAACTAGAGAGCAAGGAATTGAAGTCAACAACCAGGGGGGCCATGGGATGGAAGGAAGTTCAACCACTCGAGAGGCAACTAAGACACAATCCCTGGCATTTTGAATAACTTCATCCCTTCTAATTCAAGCAAATTTGATATCTCAGAATAAATGGAGATAAATCAACAACCTTGAACATCTGAAGTGATCCAAAAGTTATCAATGGCATAAAAACCCTAAAGCCATCCAAACGCCCCCAAGAAAGGTAAGTAAATTTCAATCCCCCCATCCTACACAGCACAAGAAAAATTAATGGCCTTATCTTGTAGGTGCACGGTGCAGCACCTGGGTGGTCATCATCAACAAGACACACACCAGGCATTTGCAAATAACGTTGGCTACCACACTTTAGTTGTCAAAGATCTGTCTGTATCATAGCTGTCCAAGCAGCCACTATAACCATCGAGCAACAGAATTATAGAACTACCTATTATCATTATATTAAACGATTGGCCAGAGAAATTAATGGCTGTGAATCAATTAATCCTGTAGCAATGACAGCATTCACTTATTTAAGTTCATTCTAGATGCATCTTTTTTCTCAAACCAACCACTGAAATATTATGTTTTACCAAGTTACCGAGAAAGTAGCATCAAGCATGACCGCTGCAAGATTTATCATGTTTTCGTTTTTAAGATTTCCTGTGTTATGACAATGTTTTCCTTGTTTCAATGATAAACATACCACAGAAATGTATATGGATCCCCACCAACGAGTTCCATCCATGGCATCACTTTGATAAAAAAAAAAAGAAAAAAAAAAACAAACAAACAAATTAGACACAAATAATCCAGGAAATAAGTTTCTTTTTGTAAGTTATCTGTTCTCATGGATAACTTTATTAATATGCCACCAGGGAATATTAGATTAGGAGAATCTTCTCAGTTCCCTTAGTGAGGTCAATCAAATATGGGGGTGGTTTCGGGCCAAGGAGCATTACGTTGAATGTAATCCACTCCAAAAAAAAAGTAAAAAATAATTTTACAAAACTAGGATGAGGTCACTGATTTCTCCCAATGCCATAATTCTTAAAGAAGATTAACATAACTGATCTAGCGAGAAAATAGAAGATTAAAGACAAATTTAGTTTATATGAGACTTTTCTCACCTTCAGAAGAGGGTGGATAACAGCTGGAACCGGCTGTCTTGATGAGATGAGACCTCTAGTGGCATGGCGCAAGTACTGTCATCTCAACAAGAACAAACTTAGTCATACACATGAAACATCATTAAATCCAAATTGCCATATAAAATTGTTTCAATTGTGAGAAAATAAAGGCAAATATTAASTTCAAGTTAAGATGCTTAGATCAGCACAAGTTCTACACCAAAACAAAATCAGAAAATTAACACAAATGCCACACATAATTCCAGATTTCACTGTTGAGGTTAATAATTGTAACAAACAAAATGAGAAGAATGGGCAAAACAGATAATATAGTATTTTTACTTTATTATTCTTCCTATGAGAAAATGACCAAAGCTGACCATGATTAAAAAGCACACAAGGTAAATTATTTACACAATTTCCTGGAAATAAAAGTTGGCCAAAAGAAGAGTGGCCTTCAGAAATGATCGTAACATCGTGGGCATTTATATGACAGCATTGATCCTAAACAGCTATTACTTGTGTCATCAGACCTGCTTGGAACTCATCTATGGCACAGGGTTTTAAATTTATTTAGGGCTCAGGAGGGACACTCCATGATGAGAACACAATAGTGCAAATCAACAGTGGTACAAAGTTAAATGACATGTGGAAAGTCAGCCTCTCCCATCATTCACATGTTGAAGAAAGCTCTAGGATTAGAACCATAGAACATGTAAGCTATAGCAAGAGACAATATTAACTTCAAAGGTTGGGAGCTCTCCTTGATCTCCTTTTCAGAGGGAACTCAGCTAGAGTAAATTGCTCAATCAAGGGGTTTTGGATAAAGCTTTTAATCTGAAGCTGATTATTAAGCTTGTGACCTGGAAACCATGTTTAAATACTATTAGATTTTGTCTATCAATATCAAGTACCCCCTGTAATGACTACAACTCTGTTTGATCGCTTTAGAGAAGAGCAGACAATTACACACTCTGGTTTTGACATTCCAAAGTTTAGCTTTGGTAAAACTCACAACTCCTAGAATCGTTATCCATAACCATTACAATCTGGTAGCATATATTAATACAATAGGGTGATGTACTGAACTACTGATCAAAATGGGAGTTATTCTGATTATTATTATTATTATTATGATAATAGGGTGCTGTGTTACATTAGGCAACAGGTTTTCCACTGTAAAAGGGGTCAATCCTCTAAAAGTAAGCAGAACTTCCATCAGGTTTCTCTGTGGTGGACAACTTGCCAACCAATGAACTGCAGCACTGTATCACAGGTATGTCCGTGATAAAAAGAAAAGAGGACATGAGCAGATAATAGATAATGATAATAACAAAAATAATAAGAATAAAATTAGTGGGTGAAAATGGGAGTTATGTGCTTCAGCAGAAAAAGAAGAAAGTAGGATTAACATGAGGGCACATTGAAGAAAATCAATTAATCACCAGAGACAATTTTTGGATTTTCACACTTGCCCAACCAAATAGCTTTTAGGCTGATGGAGTACCCCACTCGTCGTCAACCTCGTTACCATTAACAAGGATGGCACCATCTGTAGAATCAGCATCCATTTCGACAGGTTCTTCTTGGCCTTCTCCATTTTCTTTCACAACCTGGAATAGAAAAGAACAAATAAACAAATCATGCATTGTCTGAAGTATAAAAATTAGAGATACCTGATTTACATTTACAATTTACAAATCATGAATTTGTGCTTGAAAAGGGTATGTAGATCATACCGCATGACCAGAATCTCCATTTTCTTCAAGTTGTGATTCTTCCTCTTCAATTTGCATGCTCTTGAAAGCTTCCACAAGGTTGATATTTGATTTCTCAGTATAGCTTAGATAGTTCTCAGCAGGAGGATACACGCCCCTAAAACAATGACAACAAATCAATCAAAATGGTAAAAGTGCTACTTAGCATGCACTCAACACATTCAGACACTTATCCAAGATAATTCCACTACCATATAAAACAAAAAAATAAATAAAGAAAATTACTCTACATGCTTTTGAAAGTGCACAAACAATCATTTGTCTTTAAGAAAATTACAAAAACAATGACATAGATTCATATTTCTGCAGACAAAAATGATGAAAAAGTTCTCGAGGAAAAACAACCTGCAAAGGTGGTCGTATATGTCTAGCGGGAAACTTTTAAGAGACAAACCTAAACAGGTAAAGATGTAGACTTCTGCAAGAAGAATAAAGCTTTCCTCCTGTACAGTATCTGGCACTTGAGATGACCATTGAGATTTTGCTATTGCTTGCATTTTTTTATAGTGAAAAATCCTTTTGGCACAAAACTTGAAAGTTGAAACCCATAACCAAACCCCTCAATTTGAAAGCTACTTCATGTGAACATGGATTAATAGATACCCTTCATAAACTCATTAGTCCCATACAAAAGCTGAATACCTTCTTGTTCTTCTTATGAGAAACCATGAAGACTTGATTGGAGATGAAATTATGGCACAACTTACAATTTGGGAAGAACTTAAAAAAAGTATCTAAAATAAAATCAATAACTGGAAAAGTTGCACATATATACGGACCCCCTGTACAGCAAACAACATGGCTGCTGGCTTTGCCAAGTTAGGGGCAAATAGAAATGAATTGTTTTGGGAATTGTAAAACAGGATTATGGGCTTCATAAATTGTATCTTTAAGAAGGTTACCTCTCTTAGTGGGTGTTACCTAGGATAAGTATATTTCACTGAAATTATTCATAAATGAATTTCAACAGTTACTGATAAAAAAAAGTTGTACATAATTTTGGTGTTCATCCATTTACAGCACCTATTAGAAAAAGTGGTCTGTTACAAATTGAAGGGGCTAGAATGACCAGGGGCAGATCAAAAAGGACTTGGGTGGAAGTAATAAGTGTTGTCAGTCCATTATTAGTCTTATTTTTCTTGTTTTTATTATTAGATAGATAGTGCCACAGGGGTATATTTGTAATTCTTCTTATTTTTTATTATGTTTGCTATCACATACCTATAAATGCTATTGGGGGTGCCACCAGCCCTGATTTTTGGCTCTCCAATCTTTCTCCTCCTCTTCTCCCCTCTTCCTCTTCTATTCTTCTACTGAATCCAAGTGAAAACATGGAATCAGAGTGGCAATCTAGTGATCTTGGGAGGTAAAAGATTGCAGATCGACTTTTTTCTTGCGTTTTTTTTCCCTTTTTTATGGACTGTAAAGGAGAAAAAACCTACATTGGACTGGTTTAGACTTTTGTCTCTTTGTGTTTCCCTATTATTTCTTGGTCATAGTACCAAGATTAGTTGGTTTCAGTGACATACGATGCTGCCGGGAGGGTTTCCTCGAGGTGTGAGCTTCGTTTATGGTTCTGCAGTGGATCGTAGAATCCTGGTTTAGCAGGTAGTTGCTGTCTGTCACTACCAGATATATTCTGTGGGTTGGTAGTGGTCTGTTCATGGTGTGATTGAGCTGTGTGGCCTGCATAGTAACAGTTACAGCAGTTTGGCTAGGGTTTCTTTGTGATCGATTGTTAGTGTGGGTGATCACTGCAATGGAAACTGAATATTCAACTTCCTCCAGGGTTCTTTCTTTTCAAAGGAACATCCAGTATGGGACTTGACAGCATGAGTTTTCCTATGCCCAATTGTCCATTGCTCCTCTGAATGGGTTAAATTATTTGGAATGGTCTAAGGGTGTGAAGCTTTATGTTACATCTAGGGCAAAGGCTGGTTACATCAATGGTAAAGTGAAAGAACCTAAATCCGGAACTGCTGAACATGCAGCCTCTACTTTCCATGTTTCTACTTCTGCCTTTGATTCTCCCTGGAGTATTGACTCAAGGGCCACACATGACCGGTACATCCAATTTATTCCAGTCCTATAGCCTTCTGTCTAGGAGCTATAAAGTGAGACTTGCAGATGGTTCACTCTCTTTCATTGCAGGTCAGGGATCGATATCTCTCCCCCACAGCTTGACCCTTTTTAATGTGTTTGTTAAAAGCATTTTTTTAATCCAAATAATATTTAAATAAATTATAACTCAAATAAGTGGGTTGGCTAGTCTGCTAGCAGCTAGCCAAATCATCAAAACTATAAAAAAGTATCCCGTATGGGAGTTCCCTCTCTTTAAATGGGAGGGACAGGTGTCCTTCACCTAGGAGGAGGTAGTTACATAACTACCCCACTCCCTATTTAAGCTCCCTTTTAAGGGGAAGTTAGAGAGGAACGGAGACACTCTTCGGGGAAAATTATCTCAAGAGGTCCTTAAGAAAAGCAAAGATAAAGAGAGAAGAAAAGAGAAGTGCTCAAAGGAAGGCGGGGAAGGAAAAGTCTCACTAATACAAGTAGAAAAAGGAAAGTTCTCTGTGAATACTTCCTATATATGTCTCCTGCTATGTATCCTTCTTTCTCTCTCTTTTATTTTAACTTTGGAGAAAGAAAATAGAGGGAAATAAACCATCTACAACCAGGTGCTTCTAATTGGTTGATTATGGTCCCTTTTTCGAGACAAAGTTAGGGATTAAACCATCTACAGTCTAATTCTCAAGGGCTGATTATGGTTCCCTTCAAATGAAAATGAAGAGCATAGGGATAAAAACCGTCTACAATCAAATATTCAGTTTTATTGACTACAGTTCCCTTTTTATATGCAAAAATCCAAGGATTAAGGCTGTCTACAGTCAGAATTTCATCTGACTGCAGCTTATTGTGAAGAAAGGAGTGAGAAGGAAATTTTCGTTGTATCAAAAAGAAAAGAGAAATATATTGTTGTATAGTTTCTCAATTGTATTTTCTTTTTCCTTCTTCTCATTCTTGTACACTTGATGTAAAAGAAACGCAAATGAAAAGTTCTTTGTAAGTACCCTATTGTTCTTTTCTTTTGTTCTATGCATTCATTTCTCCAAGTCAGAATCAAAAGGTGTTCTCTACTTTCTTGTGGAGATGTAATAAAGGGGAACAATCTGTATGATTCCCTGAATGGGCCTTACCTAAAATAATAAAAACTCAATCACTTGATGAGTGAATTATGTTGCATGAGAATTTATTAAAATTTTCACACCAACAGTGTTACATGTTCTTAAGCTTCCTCTAAACTTGCTTTCCATTAGTAGTATCACTCACTCTTTAAATTGCAATGTAACTTTCTTTCCTTGTTCATGTGTTTTTTAGGATCTAACCCCCACAAAGACAATTGGTAGAGAAAGCATGGTGGATGGCCTTTACATTCTTAAGAATAAAGCTAGTCTCTCGGCTTCTACATTCGATTCAAGTAGGCAATTGAGTCAAGATAATAAGAGCCATGTGTTTTTGTGGCACAATCGCCTGGGTTATGTTTCTTTAGAATTGCTAAAGTACTTGTTTCCTAACTTGGTCAAGTCTTGTCTAGTGCCCAACTTTTAGTGTCAAACATGCCAACTTAGTAAACATTGTAGAAACTCTTTTTCTTATAGTAATAAAAAATCAGAATTTCCTTCTCATATTGTGCATCCATATGTTTGGGTACCCACTACTATAACCTTTGAGGGTGATTATAGATATTTTATAAGTTTAATTGATGACTTTTCTCGTTACGCACGAATATTTCCTATGCTTACTAGAGATGAAGTTCCGAAAATTGTAAATGATTTTCAATAGATGGTGTTTTACATAGTTTCATGTGGAGGTTCTAATGTTTCAATCTGATAATGCAAAAGAATACTTCCACAATGATCTGAGTTTTTTTGCATCACATGGTTCCTTGCACTGTAGCTCTTATGCCAAGACACCACAACAAAACGGTTTCGTAGAAAGGAAGAACCGCCACCTTCTTGAAGTGGTTAGTGGTATGATGATGCACATGAATGTTCCAAAACGTTTTTGGATGGATGTTGTACTTGTGGTTGCCTATGTCATTAACCATATGCTCTCCAAAGTGTTAAATTATAAGCCCCCTACATCAACTACTCTATCCTCAGTCTCCTTTGTTCTCCATTCCTATTTGTGTCAATCCTTTGTTCATGATATGTCCTCTTCTCGTGGTAAGTTGGACCCCAAGTCTATTCCTTGTATTTTCCTTAGGTATCCTTCTACTCAGAAGGGTTATAAGTGCTTTGACCTAGTTACTTGTCGGTATTTTATCTCCATGGATGTCTCCTTTGAGTTTGAGCCTTTCTATCCCACTTCTTAAGGGGAGAGTTGTGTAGAGGAGAAGTAACTTCAATAGATGCATCTTCCATCCCAGACCATGCTCCTTTTCGTGTTTTTCTTTGGAAGCATTGTAGAGAAGGATATGGAGCTCCCAAATATTTTGCATCCAACGCCATCGGATTCTCAAGAGGTAAGCCCTCAGCTAGGTACTCTCATCCCCGTTGACTCTTCTATTCCCATTGCTATTGATGATGATGTGGATGACCTTGACATTCCCATTTCCCATAGAAAGGGTGTCAGGTCATGCACTACTAAGCACCCCATTACCCACTATGTCTTATGATCATGTTTCGCCCTCTTATTGTGCCTTCTTGTTTGTCGTTGATAGTATCCCCATCCCTAAAAGTGTTGCAAAAGCCTTGTCTTACCCTGAATGGACAGATGCTATGGAGGAGGAAATTAATGCCCTCCATAAGAATAATACATGGGAATTGGTGGATCTTCCAAAGGGGAAGGAGCCAATAGGATGCAAATGGGTGCTTCCCGTGAAGCAAAAGGTAGATGGGACTATAGAAAGGTATAAGGCAAGGTTGGTGGCAAACGGCTACACACATGTGTATGGCATTGATTACGTAGAGACCTTCGTGTCAGTTGCAAAGATGAATTCTATGCGTTTCTCCTATCTCTAGTTGTTAGTTTTGATTGGGAGTTGCATCAGGTTGACATGAAGAATGCTTTCTTGAATGGTGATCTGGAGGAGGTGTATATGGTTCAGCCACTTGACTTTCGAGCCAAAGGCAACAGTGAGGACAAGGTATGTAGACTAAAGAAATCTCTATATGTGTTGAAGCATTCCCCTAGAGCTTGGTTTAGCAGGTTTCATATTGTTATTCAACAAATTGGCTATAGACAATGCCAGTTTAACCAAACTCTTTTTGTCAAGAGGAATCAAGGAAAGGTTGCAATGTTGATATTCTACGGTAGACGATATCACAATTACAAGTGATTGGAACTCTAAGATAAAAGGGTATCTTTGTGTCTCAAAGGAAGTACATCCTAGACCTCTTGCAAGACAGGAAAATTAGGTGCAAAACCGGTCGATACCCCTATTGATGTGAAACAGTTCCAAGGGTTGGTGGGAAGGTTGGTGTACTTGTCAATAACACGCCCTGATATTGCATATGTTGTGTGGGTGTTGAGCCAATTTACGCACTCTCCAAAAGTACCACACTTGGAAGTTATTGAAAGGGTACTTAGGTATTTGAAAAAGTTTCTAGGGGCTAGGTCATTAGGTTGTTCAAAAAACATGGTCACATACAGGTTGAAGCTTACACAGATGCAGATTGGGCAGGTGCTGTGGATGATAGAGAGTCTACTAGTGGGTATTCCACAACTTGTTGATGTGCTTACAAGGGACTTCGACATTTGCCGCATGAGTTGTGTGACAAGTTGGGCATGATTGACACTTACAGCCCAACTTGAGGGGAGTGTTGCCAATCCATTATTTTTCTTGTTTTTATTATTAGATAGTGTTATAGGGGTATATTTGCAATTCTAACTTTTTATTATGTTTGCTGTCACGTACCTATAAATGCTATTGGGGGCACCACCAGCCCTAATTTTTGGCTCTCCAATCTTCCTCCTCTCTTCTCTTATCCCCTCCTTCTCTTTTATTCCTCTATTGAATCTAAGTGAAAACAAAAACTATTTAAGCACCCATAATTTAACAATGGATATGGCACTGAAAAGAACTGAATGGCAAAATAGGATTCATGTAGCTGAGCATAGTTGCGACAAGGCTTAGATGATGATGATGATGATGATAATGCATGGTGTTCATATTGTTAATGAATTCAGTGCTCAAGCTAGAAATCCTAGTTTATGTAAATTTGTAATATACTTGCATGTTAATTAGGGATGCAACTTGGGTGGGCCCAACCCAACTGAAGCCTAATCCAACCCATCCAAGATTTTGCACAGGTTGGCCTTTGGATTTTTAGGCTCTTGGTTAGGCCCAGTCCTGAAAACTCATACTTGACCTCTATTTAGGGCCCTCAGGCAGCCCGAGTCCGAACCATGCCCAGCGCAACCCAACCCAAGTACACCCAACTTCCAATAATATATTTATCCCATGTCTTTTGCAGTCACTATGCATGCCATGTGCCATTTGTGTAAAAAAACTGAGAGCAGCCACTGTCTGTAAAAAAAAGGCAAAATTTATGTCCTTACAGTCCCCCTTCCAGGACCCCAGATAGCTAAGACCAAAATTGGGCAATGGCCTTTTTGTAAAACCATATATGTACATAAACACACGTGTATGTGTGCATTGTCTAATGAAATACATATATATTTTATTTCTACTCTAGTTCTAGTTATAAAACCCAAATGAAATAAGTACAAAACATGAAGACATTCAAACCTGACCAACCTGCCCAGGCTCAAACCTAGCCTGAGTTCTGTGGTGTTTAGCTTAGGATGGGCTTGGACTGAACAACTCAGGTTTTCACCTTGGGTTTGTCCAGACTTAGGCCCACGCTCCAGGGCTCGGTGCTAGACCCTGGTTTGCCCTAAATCCAGACCAACGCACCCAAGTTTCACCCCCTAATGTTGATAAGTTCCGGTGTTAAATATAAAAGGCTTAGTTCTTTGCTAAACATTGAATAGGAGTAAATCAATTAAATATTTGTTCTTGGGACCCTTGGTAAGAATAAACCAAGAACAATGGCAAAGTCTTCCAACTCTGGCAAAAAAGGGAGTTGCACCATTATTAAGACATGATTTACATGAAAGAAAATACATGGCATGCAAATGCAAAGCAGCTAGAAAAACTGCAATTCAAAACATTAAGTGAGAAAGAAAGGTAAATGGAACCACAGAAATGTACCTTTTCTCTGCAATCATAGATTCAACAGCAAGAGCAATCTGCCAATCCTCAAACAAATTAGGGTACTCTTGAGGGTCCGCCAAAGACTCTGCAGCTTTTTGGTTAACCTGTTAACAAGGTCAAATGATCAAAACAAGTCAAATGGGATATAATTGACATCTTTCCAGTAACAAGATTCAAAGTGCCCTTTATCCTTCCTGATCAGATTCACTTAACAGAAAATATTTAAAATTAAAAACATAGAGACAAACATATTAATATCAGGATAACCTTATTGAGGTCATTTCTCCAGAGTGCAATTATCTCTGAGACCTTGCTTGGAAGATGGGAACGGGCCATAAGAGCAGCCTCAGGTATCCGGTTACTGCAAGGGATCTCAAGTAAGGATATCATCCAAGAAGTCAAACAAATATAATTGCAAAAATATTTCCTTTTTAAGGCAATAAAAATGACCTAAAGAATTACCTCTCCACTAGCAGCTGGAGGCACTCTTCCAATTTCCCTAGAATGAATAAACAAACAAATGCAACATTGTTCTTTCCTTGATCTTTAGCAAGAGATGCAAGTTTTGATATTCCTTGAGCATCTCCAAGAGAGGAGTAGAGAAGCAATAAACCACTTAGGTCCATTGCATGCTGTAGGCATTCCTCAGCCATTTCTAACTGCATCAAGAAACCCAGTACCTAAGTAAATGTAGCAAACAATAAATTGCATCGACGAATCTCATGTTCAATTCACATCACTTTTTTTCAGGCAAAGGTAAATTTCACTGAAGAAATACACCAATTGCATCATCAAGAAAGATCTTCTACTAGTCAAGATCATTTCAAAGAATGTGTACGAGGAAAAAAGTAGTTTGCACACAAGAAACAAAGCAATATGAGAACCAGGAAGTGAAATCAGATTGAATGAGCATCAACTGACAGACATACATTGTTTACAGAATGTAATACTGGTTAAACATAAATCATCAGTACACTAACATTATTAAGTACTTTGGAATTTCCCTTCATCAAGCTTAGATCCAATTATTGTTGAAAATTTTCTACTTCCTTTGGATAACGAGGAAAAGAATACATTGTGACCATAGACTAGAAGCAAGAACAGCATTTGTCTATTTTCAGATTTTGTGAACAAATTATTTGGCCATTTATCACTTTTAAGAAGGCACAAAAATCCAATTGTCTGTGTGAAAATGCACATATGTGAGTGCACACATGTGGTGCGGGAGAAAGAAACGCTTAAAATCTACTAATTGAAATTTTTAAGAAAAAAAAAAATATATATATATATATATATAATCACTCAAGGGAATTAGAATACCTTTCCAGTGGACATAGCTAATTCTCCTAGCTGCTTCCATTTGGCTTCACTCTGTAATTCTGTGGCAATTGCCTGCAAAGAAAGAACCAAAGAAGTTAAACATCAAGCAGGAAGCAAATGAATACAGTGGTACCCAATAGCTCCAGAGGCATAGCCGCATAAGATTAAATAGAACCTACCTTTGCAACCTCTAGTTTCCCAAGCTGAATGGCCAGATCAAATCTGTAATTAGGATCTGTAGCTACTTCCAGTGCATCCTCCAGCATACCTCGAGATTCCAAGAAACGAGACACACTAGAAAATAAAAGTATATGCACATCAGAGTCTAAGAGAAATTTCATAAATAAGGTTCTTACAGCAAAATAAAACCTCAACATTTTTTTTTGATAGGAAAATAAAATAAAATGGAAAGACAAAATGGAAAATAAAATAAAACCTCAACATCAGAATACAAAATGGAAAGACAAAAATGAAACATAGAACACATCTAGAGAAATTTAACTGAGGATGTTAAACCATGTATGAATACTCCAACAAAAAATATTATAAATTCAGAATGAATTCTAGATTTTGCATTATAATTTTAGTATTAGCATGGTTCACGCCACAATTTTAATGTGGCAAATGAAGTTGTTGACTCTAACAAAAAACAAAAGAAACCATTATGTATCAGCAAAATCATGACCACAAATAGCTTGCACTTTTTAAAACATGGGTTCAAGGAAATTGTTTGAAGGAACCTAGGAGTAGCTCCAACAGGTGAGAAAATGAGGGTAATCTAAGATGGTTTGGTCAAGCGTGGAGAAGACCATTTACAGCACCAGTCACCAGGGAAGAAGTTATCCATTACAAGTTAAAGGGTCTAGAAGAGCTGAGAGCCATTCAAAAAGGACATGGATCACGTAGTGAGAAATGACTTAATAGCCCATAATTTAACAATGAATATGACACCGAACAGAGCAGAACAGTGGTATAGGATTCATGAATATGACAAGGCTTAGTTTAGTTGAGCCTGCGTTCAACGAACTAGACAGCAACAAAAGAGGGAACCTGGCAGCATGGTAGTTGAACTGTAGAAACAAACTGAACTGGCTTTAACATCATAGTGGTTAAAATTGGAGAGTTTGCACTAGAAGAAAATCCATAAGCTCAGAATAACACCTGCATTTATCAGAATTAATTCTTTATTTCCCCTTAATAATAATGCCATCAAACAACTCTATGATTCGGGAAGCCCTATCATAACTTCATAAGCATTAATGACAGAAATGTAATCTTCTCCATAGGTTCACATAGACTTAACAGCATTCTCTCCGTGCACATCATATAAATGGAAAGGGAAAGGAAGAGAGAATCCAGCTGGCAAGATAGCTCTTGCCAAGAAGCAAAGTTGAAAATAGTGAATATAATGCAGATAAATATATGCTAAATCAGTAGAAGGAAATACAACAGAGATTACCAAATGAAAGAATGAACATTGAAATAGCTACCAAGAATCTCTGAGTTATCAAGTTTGATAACCACAATTGTTTATGTTTCATTTTCAATCACACGAACAAGAACTACATTTGGCACACAATCATTTGATACCTATTGTATTGCTCCTTTGGAATTGAGGGTAAAATTTCATTTGCTCGTTCTAGGTCTCCACGCATCACAAGAGTTTTATATTCAATCAAACTGAGAAGTAAGGTGTATCCCATAACACTGCATTGGAAAGAGTTACAAACTATGAGAGATCAATAATAAAAAAAATGGCAGTATAACCAACTTTGCAAGGGAAATTTTTCAAGCCCCGCATACTTTAATTCTTTGTCTATAAGATACACCCGACTTTGACTTGCAAGATATCCCAACAAATACATAGGCCTGTCCAAGTGGAACATGGTAGTCACCTAAATCATTGGAAGAAAAACAAAAGATAATTATCATCCATGAAATGCATTGCAAAGTTATTGGAAACTAGGAAGTTAGATATCCAGTATACCTCACCACCAACACAGTAGTTTAATCTCCAAGAAGAGTTATTGTAAATGAAACAATCCCCAACCCATATTCCAGTCCGGACTCGCTCATTTGTCTCATGGAGGAGCTCAAAAGAATCCTCAACCCCCTCTTCATCTACTGGTCTTCCACTATCTAAATAAGATGACACAGTATCCCGCTGCCAATATTAAATAATTAACTTCAGTTTCTGTAACGCAAAGCACCTATGCTAACATATTTGGATATCAAGTCACCAAAGCAAAACAAAATAACTGTGCTGCAATCATTCTTACATTATACTTCAAGATGTAAAAGGATGTATCACTGGCAATTGCCACTAAATCACCACTGTCAGCCCAATAGAGATTCTGAAATGATGAAACCAACAATAGAAAAAATTACCACCATAGGCAGGTATAAAGGGAGAAAAAGAAACCAAGTAATCTATTAGATTGAAATTAACAATTACCTTCACATTAACATCAATTCGGCGAATCAATCTGCACTCAGCCCAATCATAAAAGCAAATAAAATCATTTGAGCACATTGCAAGTAAAGTTCCACCAAAAATGTGCTCAGCAGAGAATGTAGGTCGTATACTCTTTTTCTCCTGAAATATCACCTCAGTCAGCTACTACCCAAATTAGCAAAAAGCAGAATAATTAGATTTGCATATAACCATGCACTAAGTTGGACTTTTTGCAATAAATGAACATTGCCATTTGAGTAACTGCTCAAGGAAGCTCCATTCATAAAAAATTAGAAACCAAGATAGTAACTGAACCTGGAAGTTTTTACTGAAAATCTTAATCCTTGATGTACTTTCTCTAACAGCATATTCTCCTTCTGATGACCACACAAATTCCAATGCTGATCCAAAGGACCTGTTCCTCCATGCTAGAGCTGTGTATATGATGTACTCACCATCCCCACAAACAACAACGAATCTCCCGTTGGGATTATGTTTTAAACTCTGAAATAAAAAATTTTTAAATAAAAAAAGAAAACCAATTAGCAGTTGTACCAGAAAGCTATGACTACAATTCACCTTGTACGTTTCTTGTCATGCATTTAGATCAATTGTAGATGGAAAACAATGGAAAGAGTGTATAGGAAGTTGAATAATAAGTTAGGCATCTAATTATATGGACATTATGGTGGATAAGCTATGAGTACAGTTCACCTTGTATGTTTCTTGTCATGCATTTAGATCAATTGTAGATGGATAAACAATGAAAAAGTGTATAAGAAGTTGAATAATAAGTTAGGCATCTAATTACATGGACATTATGATGGCTAGAAACACCCCCAACCCCACATCCAACAACCACATACAGACCTAATGTTGACAGTATACATAGTTGGGAAGCTCACATCTTTCAGACAAAATAATGAGATGTCTAGAAATGTTAATAAATCACTATGGACAATATCATCTTTCCTTGTTAGCGATCACAAAGCTTTTGGGAACCCCAAATAAATTATCTTCATTTCAGAATAAAAACATATAAAATATGAAATATGTCTGACTCAAACATTTAAAATCATTTTGGATGTCATCATTTTTCCTTGTTAATGATTATAAAGCTTTTGAAACCCCACTGACCATTCACAGCAGCAGATATTCAAAACAAACTTTTGCTGAGAAATAATACCTTGTATGACATAAATGCTCTTCATTTCAGAATAAAATGTACAAAATATGAAATATGTCTGACTCAATGTTTAAAATCATTTTGAACATCATTATTTTTCCTTGTTAATGATTACAAGGCTTTTGGAACCCCACTAACCATCCACAATAGCAGACATTTAAACAAACTTTTGGTCAGAAATAAAACCTTGTATGACACAAAAACATCATTAATTTCTTATTAGTTTGATCTTTATCATGTCACAACTCACAAGAACTGTTACATACCATACATTGTGATCCATGGGACTGATCATGGGATGTCATGGAATGGCATATATTGTAATTTTAGTAATATTATGGGTAAATGGGCAGTGAGTAGGATTAGGAGTTCAGTATGGATGATAGAAAGATAATAGGAAGTGATTACATCTTACGTGAAGGGCAAGCATGTGTAGTTGTGTGCAATGTGGGAGGTTATTGAGTGGTAGTGGACTAGTGAAATTTGAATCCCAATGCGTTGGGTCTCTTGAGTCTTTGTATCTATTTAAATGTTTTCTTATGAATGAAATAGCAATCTGAAGTATTTTGAGAATTTGCCAAAAAAAAAAAAGTATTTTGAAAAATTGGATTCCACTAGGAGTCTTGGAGGCAGGCTTCCCTCAAAGAAACCCAAGTTCATACATTCAAAACTCAATTTTCCAAATGAATCTCAACTCCAATCTTTAATATATGCCAGGAAGAGAAAAAAATGTGAAACAGAATAGGCCATACCACATGCATTGAGCAATACATTGAGCATACTCCCTTTTTTATTGGTTTGAGAAAATTCTCTTTATTCTTATTTTCTTTTCCAGATTAGTAGAGCAAATGCTATCTAATGTACAAAACATGAAAAACCCTTTAGAACAGTGGAAATAGTAGTTTGAAAAAAGAGGGTTTTCAGATTTTCAAACTAAGGGAAGTACCACTGAACTTATTTTCACACGAGAGGATTTACATGCTTTGGATTCCTTCCAGAAAACACTACTTTGAACAGAAAAAACATGCAAGGCAGAAAGTCATGCAGAGGAAACGAAACCACAATAAAGTCATGTTTTAGATTTTCACAGAAAATTTTGCATAATGCATGGCCAACTCCTTACTTGAGGATAAAGATCACAGGTTCCCAACTCCTTCACAGCCAAAGGTAATCTCTCTCCATCTGTAACCTGAGAAAAAGAAAGGGTGCCATAGCTAGCAAATCAAGTTTACCAATAGACCTGTTCATGGGCCGGGCCGGGCTTTGACTCTTTATTAACAGAAAACTGTTAGGCCCGAGCCCGAGCCCGGCCCTGATAAAAAGCCCGAAGCCCGACCTAATAAAAGAAATTCAAAATTTTCCCTATTCAAATGGACATTTTTTATTTTAATTTAGATGTTTTTCCCCTATTTAAATGAACAATGAGCCTACAAGTGAATCAATGACCTTCTCAAATCAAAAAATTTATTCAAATAGACATCACATAGGGTTTTTACTTAGGTTTAACTATAGGTCGGGCCGAGCCGAGCTCGGGCCGGGCTATTTTGGCAAAGCCCGAGCCCGGCTCGAATTTTATGTGGGCCGGGCTTTTTGGCCCGAGGTTAAGCCCGTGGGCCAAAAAGCCTGTTCAAGCCCGTCCGGGGGTCGGGCCGGGCCGGCCCGTCAGGCCACCCGGCCCATGAACAGGTCTATTTACCAATGAAGCTCATTACCTTTTGAGTCCCAGACTCCATGCAACAAAAGATAAAGGTAGGAATGCAAACCTCAAAATCTGCTCCCACACTTTTAATGTTCACAGTTTGAATTTCATTGTGCTTAGCCCATATGATTTTCCCACTACTGTCCATGCTAGCAACTGGAACTTCTTTACCAAGCTTTATCATTATTGTTCCTTCGTCATACCCAATCACGACACTGTAAATGATGAAAGAGATGTCAAGTGAACTTTGAAATAAAATGTGAAGTTATAATAAGGATGCAACTACCACAGAATATGCTTAATCCAATCTATGAATTTTTTCCTATGATTTCAAATTGAAAAAGAAAGGAAGATAAAGGAAAACACTCACCGGCGGGATCCTTTTATGTAGCCAATGGCCCATACTCGTTCAAGACCATAATTCAATGTGTTTTCAAGCCTGTAAGTTGAACAAAAAGATCAGATAATCAGATTAGATGTTGTTTTATAAATAAATAGAGCTCATTTGATTAAGTTATTGTTTGCAGGCTAATAAAACTTTTGTTGGGGATCATGGAGAGTACAAGAATGACAAAAATAACATGATAGGAATAGTATTTAAAACCAAATATTTATAGCACAGTTGACAGTGAAGTATAAATTTGGAAAATAGATAGATATTTGAACAATAGATTCACACTCTAATCTTGGAAAACTAGATGACTTTAAAGCAATACAAAGACTTCCTACCGCTGAAAGCCTATCACCAATAACTCATTAAAAAACTACTAAGTGCTCATAATGAGTGTATATAACCATTAATAAACTCATCAATTTCCATGAAGTAATCCTACTTGATAAATTGCCATTGTATTAGAAAAGCCAATTTACTCCATTACTCCCAAAAAAAACCAAATTATTTAAAATTAAATAAATTGAAGAGTACTAAGAAGAAAAACTATAGAAGCAAAAAGATATAAAAGAAAATAAAATGAATATGATAACAAATTGAAGATTTAAGAAAATATAAAAGATTTAAGACTAAGTTTCAATTGACCAAAAGCTATCAAGAACAACAAAACAAAGGCAGATTACAGGTAAAAAAAAACAATAAAAAAGGACCATATGGAACATCTCAAGGCTCCTCTTCAGATAGAAATAGTTTCACGGAAAGCAAGAATTATCACTATAGAAAGTAATGAAAGACCTAGAGTAATGCATACACCTTGTTCATAAAAATTTGTTATGAAAGATTTCTCTTTTTAAATGAAATTTCATACTAATCTACCAAATCACTGCAATTAAATACTGGATTTACCTATAAGTCGTTGAATGCCATATTCGAACAGTCCCATCCTCAGAACCTGTGATTATTATTGGAAGATCAGGATGGAAACAAACTGCTGAAACATTATGTGTGTGACCTTCTAGTGTTTGGACACAACTTTTTGTTTGGTAGTCCCACACCTGTTTCAGTAGATTGTACACACAAGACATCATCAAAATATCATCAAATTAATCTTACCTATAAATAAGAATATAAGATATGCATAGCTCTAGACAAAGAATCATAAGGCAGACCTTAGCAGTATGATCGTCAGAACCAGTGATCAGGTATGGCTTATCACCACCAGTGAAGTAATCAACACAATTGACCCCTTTTGCATGCGCATCCAATGTAAAATTTGGGTCAGGGGAGCCAAGATTCCAAATCTAGAGAATGAAAAATTTATCCAAACCACAATAGCAAGTCAATTAATAGTATTTTTAATGTTCAATGAAACAAAATCTATATGACACCATCAACAAAAGATTACAGTCAAACCTTTATTGTACGATCAAGAGAGGCACTTGCAAAAGTATTGGTATCCTTGGGGTTAAATGTCACTTGCATCACGTAGTGGGAATGCCCCTCAAAAATCTGGATACACATCCAACCCTTCTCCCAATCCCATAACTTTATAAGCATGTCATCAGATGATGACAACACATATGGAAGGGTAGGATGGACTGCCACACACCTGATGTAGTCCGTGTGTGCTTCAAATACTTTCACCTTATCCATTGTATTGTAATTGTATACACGGATAAACATGTCATCAGCTCCAGCAACAACCCACTGCTTCCTGGCTATAAATTTTGCTGACCGAACTACAAAAATACAATATAAACAAAAGAAAATTAGAGACCATTGCAAATCTGCAAGAACAGAAAGGTCAAAAACAAGAATGTGGTACCTGGTAATTCAGTGACCTCAAAAGACTTTGCCATTGTCTGGAGAATCAGAAAACTGAATTAATACCATCCAGGATTTTCATTAAGTGAACATTCAAACAAAACAAAGCTGACATACATGGTTCAAAGTATCAATACTCATGATACACAAAAAAAAGCGTATCATAAGGTTTCAAACTTCGATACTCCCTTTTTTGTTTTTTCGGTTTAATGTTTTCACAGTAGAAATACAAGGGGTTCTACTATTTAAACCTATAGAGACCCCCCTGATTCCTAGTATTTAATATTTTGATGACCCTAAAAACCGTCACATATTGTACAATATGCTACAATACGAATCAATACTTTGAACCTTTCCTGCATACTTGCATGATAACTTACAACTACAAAAACAGGTAAACAAATTTATGAAAAAAAAAAGAATAGATAGATGAAAGAGACGTGCAAATAAATTATTCTAAGAAAATCATGCTTTGGTACTGAGCATAAGAAACCACCTAACCCATGAAATGGTGGTGGTTCTAGAAATGGTTTGTTCAGTCAAATCTTTCTACGAGACTTTGTCAAGGTCAAATGGAGAAAGTTCAGAATTGAAAGGTATCTAGGGAAACCCTGTCCCCCCAAGGGTGGAAGCTTTTGCTTAGCTAGTGGTGTTAGATAGCATTTTGACTTTGAACCATCTTCAAAATAGAAGTTTTCACTTAGCTAGAAGATTCTATCTTTGTGAGAATGCAGAGAGACCATTTGCTTGTTGAATGTCTTTTCTCCAAGTTCATTTGGGGCTTCTACTTTGGGCTTTTCAAGAATAACGAGTGGTCTCCTAATTCAGTGGAGGAGATTTTCTCCAAGGGGCCAAATGTAAGGGGAAATGTCAAGGCAAAGATCGCCTGGAGCTCCATTCCTTTTGTTGTCTGTTGAGAACTTTGGAAAGAAAGAAAGAAATAGAAGAACATTTGAAGAGAAGGCTCGACCAAGGGAGCATATCACATTACTATGTGGAAAAAGAATTATGAACTAGGTTCTCATTCTCACAGAGTTTGAATGAATCACAAAAGAAGATCTCGGTTTTGGTTTTTGGAACATTCTGGAGTTGGCTTAAATGTTTCCCTTTTGTTTGGATTATGTACCACTCTTTTTTCTATTGAGTGTCTCCTTTTTGTTTGTTACGCTCTCTTTTGTAGCTTTGTTTTCTGGTGATATCTCATCACTATCAGATGTACTACTTTCTTTTATTAATAAATTTTCTTTTTTATTTATTACCAAAAAAATGAAATGATGGAGTGGAAAAGAAACATGTTCTCTGGCACCAAAAATAAATAATACTAGAGGGAAGAAAAGAAAGAAAGAGACAAATTTTTTGTTAACACATATTTGTTAAAAATAAGCTTTAAAATCTCTCTCTCTAAAATATAATCCATCGAACAACTTATCAAAGTAAGTTCCCCCCCAAGAAGTCAATATGATGCACAGGGTGAGAGATTGGTTCTCCTTGTCTCCCATAAAAGGAGCATTTGTTGGCCATATTTCTCCTTTGAGAAATAGTGAGCTAAACTGTTGCCTAAGGCAACCACCTAGGCATTTCGACACTCTATTGCCTAGGCAAGCAACTAGGCATGTCATATGGATGTAAACATTTTAGTTGTGACAAATAAGTAACTTTGGCCCTTTTATATATTGATATGTTTGCCATAACCTTTTTTTTGGGTTGATATGAGTGCATATAGAGCTAAACATTAGGATCTTAATCCCTCTGTGTCTATATGTACCTTCTACTTTGAACTAAGGAGATTGTTCAAATATCCTGTCATTCTTTCTCCAAATCAGGATTAAGTTGTTGTGTTTAATGATTTATTGATTTACTTTGTAGTTTTAATAGTTTATAATTAACAAGTAATTCTGTAATACTAATTATTAAATATATAAAGGGCAGCCTAGTGCATGAGATTCCCGCTAATGACTAAAATTAAATAAATATGTATTTATTTATGAAACCAAGGCAATGCCCAGTTGTCACCTAGGTTTTGACTTATCTTGCCAGTCCAAAATGTGTAGGCCTGTCAATCTTTTTTTATCAATAACCGCAGCTTTCATTAATGTTAAATAGAGAAAAAAGAGTACAATAAGAAAAAAGTCAGTGAGAGATAAACCTTCTTATCTTTCCCCTCAATACACCTAGGCCTGTCAATCTTAACTCTATAATTCATGCTGGGAAATAAAAAGGTCTAAATGTTGTGAATCACACGGAACAAAATCTTCAGCAGTAGGTAGATTTTCCCCAACCTTAGGAGCCCACCTTGCTGTAAGACCCCAGACTGTTTGCCTGGTCAAGGTAAGGCAGCCACAGTCAATCCTTTTTTTTTCGGATCAATAACTGCAGCTTTCCACTAATGTTAAATAGAGAAAAAAGAGTTCAATAAGAAAAAAGTCAGTAAGAGATAAACCCTCTTATCTCTCCCCTCAATACACCTAAACCTGTCAATCTTAACTACATAATTCATGCTAAAAAATAACAAGGTATAAATGTTAATGTTGTGAATCACACAAAACAAAATCTTCAGCAGTAGGTGAATCTTCCCCAACCTTAGGAGCCCACCTTGCTGTAAGACCTCAGATTGTCTGCCTAGTCAAGGCAAGGCAACCATCTTATGATATGAGATATTTTGAGTTTATTTTATTTCATATATTATGATGCATTGAATGAAATTACACACTAATGATGTGCATTTCTTTATTTTTTTTATTTGGGGTTTTAACGCAAGTGGAATACTAACTGATTCTTGAGTTGAAGATACAATAAGAACCAAAAAAGAGGATCAGAGTAGCAGACCATGCCCATTCACATAAGCTTGGATGTCAGAAGGGAAAAAAACAAACTTATAAATTATAATCATATCATCTTCAAATAGGTAGGTCTTTTGTTTGTTTTTTCCTTCCGCATACCATGCAGCCATGTTGCCTTGCTTTTTCGGTTCAGATCTTTCTAAATATAAATAAATTTGGTTTCGATCAATGTTGCAATGACATGAACACAGGAATTGGAAGCTGAAGCATGTCTAAGTGACTGACACAACAAGACAAGAAAGTGTGGACCCACAGGCACGTCTATATAAAAGTATATACTATTAAAACCGTTCATATTTCTGAATCATAACATTATATACCAACAAAAAATGGGGGTAAAATGTTGCCTTTGTTACTAAATAACATTTTACAGGGAAAATGACACTCATCTCATACATTTTCTGTTCATTTATGCAGGAGAAGAAGAGGAAATATTATCTAGAGTGTCCCTCAAGAATTCATACAGTGTTGGAATTTGATGCATGTTCGACATGGACACATTGTCCATTTAGGAGAGTCCACACAAAACTGGTTTCAATATGCTATTGCATTGCAGGTCTACTTGCATCCATGCTAATAATGGAAGTGGTTTTATTGTATATAATAGGTGTTAAATATAAGTTTCATAATGCCTTGAGAGTGACATTTTGGAGGGGATCCATGGTGCAATGACTGCTCACTGATGGATTTTTTCCCAACAGTATTTACAGCAGCAACTGATAGAAATGCTTTGGTAATTGACTGCTTTGAAATTTTGAATTAACAGGTGATATGGAACCCTAGGATGAGAAGATATTTAAATGATTGAGAAATTGAAGAAATGGCAGCAATGCTAATGAAAATCCACTTTTTATCGGAAAATCCATTAAGAGAAGCCTTGCTTAAATCTGAGTGACAGAAGGATTTGGATGTGGGTTGGATAAGGCTCTATCATGTCTAAATCCTTCTTGAAGAGACTAAGTTCTTCAGCCTACAATAACAGCTCCCTTAGTACAAAAATCTGGGTACTCAGCAGTCCCTCAAAGGTTGTTTTTTGGTGTGGACAGCCGTTCTAAGAAAAATGTGTTAACTAGAGACAGCCTACAGAGGAAAAGTTTTTTCCCATACTGGTGTTTTCAAGCCATTGTTGACCCAGCTGGTCAGACCAGTGACCCATTCACAATCCCATTCCAGGTAAATCTAACCTATTTTGTTAGAAAAAACTGTTGACTCAGTCAACCTGTCAACCCAGACAGTTCAACCATTAACCTGTCTGACCCATTCAGTGGGTTACTGGGTTTTTGTCTTCAGACAATAAGACCTTTTGAAGAACAAGAGATTAAAGAAACAGTTTTTAAGATGGACGGTGATAGAGCTCCTGGACCGGATGGGTTCCCTACTCTTTTCTACCAACTTTGCTGGGACACAATCAAGTCTGATCTAGTGGAGGTATTTGCAGACTTCTACCTATCAGCCATGGGAAACATGGGAAATAACTCAACATTCATCACCCTAGTGCCAAAGAAAGAGGGATCCTTAGAAGTTAAGGATTTCAGACCTATCAGTTTGGTGGGAAGCTTATACAAAATAGTAGCGAAAGTGTTGGCGACCAGACTAAAGGAGGTGCTGAATGATCTGATTCCAAACAACCAATTTGCTTTTGTGCAAGGAAGACAGATTACTGACAGCATTCTAGTGGCGAATGAATGTGTAGAAGAGAGAAGACAAAGCGGCAAGCCAGGGGTAGTAATCAAATTGGACCTTGAAAAGTCCTATGACAAAGTGGATTGGGATTGCTTGTTAGAGATTCTAAGCCTGAGAGGTTTCGGTAGAAGGTGGATGAGATGGATAAAAGGGTGTATTAGCTCTGCTTGGTTTTCAGTCCTAATTAATGGGGAACCTACTGGTTACTTTAATGCAAACAAGGGCTTGAGACAAGGGTGCCCTCTCTCCCCTCTACTCTTCACTTTGGTGGCGGATGTACTCAGTTACTTGATACAAGAGGCGAGGGAGTTAAATTTGCTGAAAGGCTTTGAGATAGGTACGGAGGCAGTTCCGGTTTCTCATTTGATGTTTGCAGATGACATTATTCTTTTTCTGGAGGAGGATTGGGAGAACATTTCCATCTTAAAGAGTGTGCTAAAGAGTTTTGAGATGGTGACTGGACTCAGCATTAATTACTCTAAAAGCAGAATTGTGGGGCTGAATGTTGGTGACCCTCTATAGAAGAGGTTTAGGGAGCTGTTGGGGTGTAAGTTGGAGAGTCTCCCTATTGCTTATTTGGGAATGCCTCTTGGGGGGAACCCGAGAAGTCAAAGTTTTTGGGACCCGGTAGTGGAAAAATGTGAGAAAAGATTGGCCACATGGAAGAAAAGCTTTCTTTCAAAAGGTGGAAGACTTACACTAATTAAGGGCCCGTTTGGCACACCTTTTTGAGAAGATCTTCTTGTAGCTCTGATGGTCAAAAGATGCATTGAGCTTTTGACATAAGATCTGGGCAACCCGAAGACCATTTGGCAAACGCGCATCTTTTTGTGCGTTGTTTTGGGTCTTTCCGCACAAGATTAAAACGTGGAAGACGCGGGAAGCTTCATTTGGAGCTTCCCGAAATCAGCCCAAAATGGGCTTCCCGCGTCTTTTCGGCGCCCCGTCTTTTGGCGGCGAGATCTTCTACGTGCCAAACGAGAATAGACCGATTTTCGGTCTTCCTGGATTGTAAGCAGCCGAAAGGCCGCGCGGAAAGACACACCAAACGGAGCCTAAGGATTCCCTCGCCAACCTGCCAACCTACTTTCTGTCGGTTTTCCGAATCCCATGCAAAGTAAAAAAGCAAGATTGAAAAACTACAATGGGATTTCCTTTGGGAAGGGGGTGGTGAAAACAAGTGTCATCTAGTAGGCTGGAAGCAAGTTTGTAAGCCAAAGGAAGTTGGTGGTTTGGGACTAGGACATATTAAAGAGAGGAACTTGGCCCTTCTTGGAAAATGGCTTTGGAGATATCCCTTGGAGATGGAAGCATTGTGGACAAAAATCATCAAGAGCAAGTACGGGAAACATGCCAACGGTTGGGATAGCAAGGTCCACTTGAACCGAGTCAAAGCATCAAACCCTTGGAAAGGAATTACTTCTATCTATGATATTTTTCTTGATTTTGTTAGATACCAGGTGGGGGATGGTAATAGAATCAAATTCTGGTCTGATTTGTGGTGGGGGGAGGACACCCTCGCTAACTCCTATCCTAGAATCTATAGCTTGTCCCAATCCAAAGAAGCCACGGTAACCCCTAGCCTCAACCCCTCACCCTCCGGAACAACCTAGAACCTAAACCTCAGAAAGCCTCTAAGGGAAATAGAAATTGCTAATATAGCTAGTTTGCTAAACTCTCTTAATGAGGTCTACATCTCTCCTACTACCCATGACCAAAGAATCTGGAAACCTAACCCTGCTAGTAATTTCTCTTCTAACTCCTTCTTCAAGGCTCTAGTGTCAGAAGATCCAAGGCCTACTTTTCCGGCTAAGAAAGCCTGGAGACCACACATCCCCCGTAGAGTCTCTTTCTTTGTGTGGGAAGCCTGTTTAAAGAGAATAAACACATGCGAGTTGATGCAGAAAAAGTTTAAAGGCAGATTCTGCATCTCTCCTCATGTTTGTCCTCTTTGTCTTGGCGATGAGGAGACAACTGATCATATCCTTCTCCACTGCCCGGTCACTAGAAAGGTTTGGTACTTCTTCTTAAACCTAGTGGGTTACAGCTGGGTGTTCCCGGAGAGGGTGGTGGACATCTTGTGGCAATGGCAAGGCAGAGGGCTTGGAAAAAGAGGAAGATTTTACTGGAATACAGTGACTCATGCAGTCTTGTGGGGTATTTGGGAAGCAAGGAACATTAGAACCTTTGAAAATAAAGCTAGAAATATTGAAGATCTAACTTCCTACATCACACATCTCTGCAATCTTTGGGTAATTAACTCTGAAGTGTTCAAAGGGCTCTCCCTAAATGATCTCCAGAGAAACCTACCAGAAATCCTACACTCCTCTCCAACATCTGAGTGGACCATAAGATAGGCTCCTAGAGAAGAAGGAGGAATGATTCTAAAGGTAGCGCCCAAGGTTCCACAGGTCAAGCAGGAATTGGGGGTATAATCCGAGGGGAAAGGGGGAATATTTTCTGGGCTTACAGTGGTCCGATTGGGAGGGCTGATGCCACAAAGGCTGAGGTTTTGGCTGCATTTACAGGAATTCACCTCGCCAAGCAGCTAGGATTATCCTCCTTAACAATTAAAGTGGATTCTGCAAATGCTATAGTTTGGTTACAGGATAAGGGAGGACCCTGGAGATTAGCCCACTTTTCAGCTGAAGCCAGGGACATCCTAGAGACTATGAATGTGAGGTTGGTCTAGATTCCTAGGGAGCAAAATTCTGTTGCTGATTTCCTAGCAAAATCAGGGGTCTCTAGAAATTTCTTGTTTAGTGACAGTTGTTTGCCTTTGTAATCTGGCCAAGCCTCTCTTGGCTTCAGTACATCCTCTCATGTACTTCTGTTTGATTCTTCTTTAATAAAAAGTTACCTTTGCTTCAAAAAAAAAAAGTGGGTTACTGGGTTTTTATATTATTTTGTTTTTTTTTTTTTTGAAATTCCTATATTGATGCAAAATAGGTTGACCTAGAGGGGGAAACAGTTCAACCTCGGAGCTGGGTTTTAAAGCACTGCCCTAGACACACTTAAAGCCCTCCTTTACAGTTGGAATCTGATAGGTCTCAGCAAGAGATGAAGAGTAATCTGGAAAACTATAGCAGCATGGTAAAAATGAGCTGGGTTTTAAAACACTGTCCTAGACACACTGAAAGCCCCCCTTTACAGTTGGAATCTGATAGGTCTCAGCAAGAGATGAAGAGTAATCTGGCAAGCTATACCAGCATAGTAAACTGTACAGTGCCTTGGTAGGTATAAATGAGCTCTAAGCTTTGTATCTTTTTGTCACAATGAATGAAATACTTCCTTTCCTTATTCAAACAATAATGATACTCCCTTAGGAAATGAATAATGTAATTTGCCTTGATTTCATTGTTATTAAATAGTATTTATTATTTTCAATAGAAATTAACAAGAAAATGAAAATATGTTATATATCAATATGGAAGATATCTGATGTATTATATAGCTTTTAATTTTTTTAATAACCACTGCCCAGACCATAACTAGGCAATGCCTTCATGGGCACCTCAGTGCTTAGGCTAGAAGGTATTTACCACCTTCATAACTACAGGGGAAGTTACAGATCCTGAATCAACTAATAAGTTCATCTTATTTGCAGGCTCCATTTTCGATATGAAAAGATGCCCACTACCTCTTGATTTTAGCCCATGATTTATGAGAGTAATGATTATGTTGAAATATATGTAATACATATAGCATATCTAGCATTAAATTGAAGAAATAATTATTAAAGGTCCATGCCTTTATGCTTGGTCAGATTCCATACCTTCCCTTGATGGCCAAACTCTATTATGGCCCTGTTGGAGTATTAGCAAGAACCTAACGGCAACACTTCTTTTTCCTTTCTATTGATCTTTGAAACCCATTATACTCCGCTCGCTTGAATATTAACTTTTCTCTCTTCTAAATTGAAACCTAGAGTCTTCCTTCTATTAAACTATCCTTATTTTTCTACTCTTGAAATCCCTGTTCCATCTCCTCTTAGCCAATTTGAACAAGTCTAAACACTAACTGTTTTCTTTTGAAATGTTGTAAACATTCTAAGCTTAACACTACCCAACATATTTCAATACCCACCAAATTTACTGAAAACCTCAGGGAAGGAAGTTTCAAGTTTCTTCAAGCTTGAAGTGTTGCCAACAAAATCCAATAAAATGACTATCCATTGACTGTTTTTCAACTAATGAAATTTAGTCACTAATTGATGCTTAGACCTGCAAAACCTAGTCCTGTGCAAGTTGGTCTATAGGCCGTTTCGATCACCATAACATAATCCTACATCACATCATTGCCTGACACAGTGGCACCCCAGACCTCATAAAGTGTTTTCTATAAACACATGCTAAATTAGTAAATAGGCATCTTTCACTACTTGTATGAGTTTATAATATTCTAAAAATGCTGCCCCAATAATTGGAATGAACAATAAAAATTGGTTGGTATGATCTGAGCTTTTTTTTCTCCCGTCTTTTTTTTTTTTTTTTTTTGGATTAGTGACACTGAGCATGCTTCCACCATTGACATAGGTATCAACCTCTATCTTATATGAATTAGGATCTGACACAGCAACATCCATTTTAGACCCAAAGATTGTAACCCAAGTGCTCTATGTAGGAAGAATAACAAACAGGGGAGACGTTTTCTAATTAATGTTATAAATCATCTATCATCTTACCTAACCTTCAATATGAGAGTCATTTAGTACATGGAATGCATGAGAGTTAATGTCAGAAGACCAAAACTTGGTTTTAACGTAGACTTATATCCATAAATCATGCTATGGATATAAATTGCAAAGGAAATTGACACATAAATTCTCCAAATACTGAACACAAATAATATGCTAAAAATGTGTCAATATAAAACTCGCTACCTGTGACTGGTAGTTCCAGATGCACACAGTTCCTGAGTAAAGACTTGCAAGAATCCTGCAGGAAAAAAGTTTGACGAAGGTTGTAGTTCAGTGAGTAAAGACTTAGCAGAACAGCATGGATTCCTTCTAGGAAGTAGTAATGATATTACTTTAGTGCAGTATCAATCAAGAAAGTGAAATGACATAAATTCAGCTATGCATATAAAGTACCAAGGTTTTCTATGCAGGATTGTATTTACCATGGTTCTGTGGGATGAAGATCCACGGATTTTACTCTTTCGGATCTTTGAGCAAGTTTTCTCTGATCCAGAAATTGTTGACATTAGAGAACTAAAGCAATATGCAAAATAAAATAGAAACTAACAGAATGAAACGTCAAAAATCAGGAATTTGAACGGACTGAAGAACATTACCTTGATTTCCAGTCTGAGAGGCTGTGCCATTACCCAAACGCGCAACAATTAAGAAAAAACAGATAAACACTAATCAGTCCTCACTCAAAAACCAGATCTCTGACAACTTCGAAGTCTTGACTAACTCTAGGTCTAGTATACAAATTAGTAACTCCGAACTAGCTTCATTTCGAGGTAAAACAATAACCAATTCAGGCAAATAATCGTCAAAGAGACTGTTTTGCATAAAATCAACGCAAATTTCGCTAGATCTAAGTTAGGTGTAAAATTATTGCATGAAAGTAGAAAAGTAATGAGCCCTACCATCTTTGCTGACGAATCGGTGAGAACAGATCCCTGATCGCAGGCGTATCAAGGAAACCACAGATCGAGAACCAAGAACACTGGAAATCCACGTGAGGTCGACAATGGAGAGATCAGAACAGAGATTCAACTAGCGAGCGAGCTCTGGCTGTGCTAGCAGAGAAGAACAGAGGATGGAGACAGCGAGAGAGAAGGAAAGGTTTTGTATCAAAGAGGTCACCGGTTCGTAATTACGATGTGGAGGAGAAGAAAATATTATGAAATATAGAAAATAATAAATTTGTTTACTTCGTAGTTACGAAAAAATATTCAACGTTTCGAAGATTTACATAAATGCCACTGCTTAATGGATAAGCATTTGAACAAGCGAATTAGTGAACCATAATTTCCGAGAAACGCACGACAAAGTGTGGGAAAATCACATATGCTGTCTGTGTGGTTAATTATGCGGATGCAAGCGCCACCGCTTGACAAAAAAAACGTATTCAGGGTTTGAGTGATTTACAAAAATGCCACTGCTTACTTGCTTAGTGCTTAATGCCTAAGGATTTGAATATCTGACATTCTGATCCAAAATTCCCGGGAAACGAACAAAAGACTCACGGCAAATGGTGGGAAAAGCACATACCGTCTGTCAACTGTCTGGGGCCAATGCTAGCTTTCACCGTCCAACGATCGAAGTGATGTTGGAATCCTCTACGGGATTGAAGTATACGGCCATCATGATTAGCCATGTCAGCCCGAAGTGTGGGACCCTATGTTAATATGTACAGATTGATGTGGTTTATCATGAATGCTGCGGATAGAACCGTAGAGGATTTGTATACGTATTTTGATGGGAAAATCTATGATTCGGGAGGGAAAGACATGGTATAGGAAAAATTTTGACGAATCTAAATCCAACCATGAATTTTGATAAATAACATCGGATTGGCTACCGTTGTCGTCAAATATGGAGTTGAGGGCAATAACGTAATTTCTAGTATTTGAGGCTGATGGGTCCAACCTATTGAGAGAAAGAAAGAAGATGTTAGCAAAGGGCCCTGATGTGGTGGATGTGGAAGAAGCTGAGGCACCCACAGCCGAGGAGCGAGTTGAGGCGTGACGCTTGGGCCGAGAAATACTACATCCTAGGGAACTATATGGTTAGAGTCCCCTACGTGGGTGATAGGTTGTGGGTTGCTCCTGAAGGGTAGGAGCGTGTTCATGAGCATTACCTTCACTTCGGGCTACGGTTTCCCTTGCACCCCCTTGTTCCCAAAATTTTGAACCATTACAACCTCACCCTTAGCCAACTCACCCCCAATGCCTTTAGGACGATAGTGGTCGTATTGATGATGGCCCATCTCTGAGAGGTTACTGTGATGTTGAATATATTTCGGTGTCTGTTTGCACTAAGGAAGCACCCTGATGGGGAGAACTTGTTTTACTTCCAAGACCAAAGGGGAAGGTGGTGGACAACCCGACATCTGTCCACAACTAGAAGAAGAAATTTTTCTATGTGAGTTGCCCCCAAGGCTAGTCCTTTCGATCTAGTCGGGGAAAACCAAATATGTTGACCAAGAGGATTAAACCATGCAGCAACAATGAGGAGAAGGCCGTGATGACTCGACTTTGGTTGAGCAGGACAATTCACTCCAGACCCTTGGTGAAGGAGGAGGAGACCTTGGTGATGGTCGGCCTTAGTCCTGCCCCCCTTGGTATGGACGCTCCTATTGTTCGCTAGTTTTGAAGTTGCTTACATTTTCTTAACGTTCTTCTAATTGCAATTTGTGCCTTGTCTTTATAAAAACCACTCAAGGCATTCGCTTGCCCAAAAGTAGAGCATAGCAGAGCAAAACAAAGAAAGACACACCTATCTTCATCATGAATCAAGATGAAGGCAATGATATGGAGCAAAAGAAGGAGAACGATCATGGAAATGGTTTCAACATAGCGATCATGCATCGGATGTCTATGCCCCACCTCAGGAACTTTGATTTCGGCCGCTATAAGTTGTGTGATCCCTCTCCAAAGAAACGATCATCTTTGGCTCTGCAACAAGAACCCTCCACTAATTCCGATCCTAAGCCAAGAAACAAGAAGATCATGGTCGAGCCCACTAGAGCTCCATCTTAGGGCCACACCAATTCTATATCACCATATTCATTATAGCCCCAACCTCATTAATTCTCAAAGATTATCTCATCTCTTGTGCCACCTTTAGACATGCTTTTTTTTTTCTAGCCCATATAACACACCAAAGACCCCCATGGAAACAGAGATGTTGTCGTGAAAAACACCCAAGAAAAATGACCGATGTCAAGAAACTACGACACTGGCCACCCCCTGCACCGATGGAGAATCTTGCTACGGAGGTAAAAATTTGGAGCCGGGAATAGCCAATCCGGCACAAGATGGTGGGTTTAGTTCAATTTTGTTTGAACAAAATGTTGGAGGGAATGGATGAAAAAATGGGTGATGGAACTAACAACATCGTCTCAGGCTCTATCATATATATCATTTTCCCTTGATTTGTTTAAATCGAATTTATTTGTTAATTAGTAATGTTTGAATTGCAAGAAATTTCAAAGATTAAGGAAGAAAGTGTGACATTATGGATTGAGGAAGAAGAACATTCCATTGTATATTTCAATTATTTGTGTGGCAAAAAGTATTGTGTTATCGCCAAGCGATATTATCTAAGGAGAGAGGGAGTCAATTTCAAGTGTGCATGCCCGAATTGTCCAAGCTAAAGGTTTACGGGTAGATGAACTCCCCAATGTCCTCTAGGCGTATCGAACTACTAGTAGACACCCAGCGGCGAGACCCCATTCAACCTAACATATGGAATTGAAGTCGTTATCCCAACTAAAATTGAGGTACCAACCATTAGGTCTGAAACCTATGACGATGAAGGTAATGATGACGAATTGCACACCAACTTGGACCTGGAGGAGGGAGTCCTAACTTGGCACAAATACGAACCGCCTTCTACTAGCAGAAGATAGCTCGGTACCATAATGCCAAAGTCAAGAGCACTCCGAGTTGGGGACCTTGTGTTGAGAAAAGCCACGGTGCCCAATCCAGGAGTCAGGAAGCTTGGCCCGAACTAGGAAGGTCCTTACAAGGTGACCAAAGTACTTAGGTCGGGGACCTATGAACTTGAAACTATGGAGGGCAGGCAAGTCCCCAGAACGTGGAACGTGGACAACTTAAGGTAGTTCTAAGTTCATAGGACTCGAAAATTTTCAAAATTTTTTTTAAGTGTTAGCTACAACCAAGCTTGTTCTTAAGACCAACCCGCTATGAGCACTATGGTTGTCTAACAGGAAGCGAAGGCCAAATTGCTTTTAGCACCTTGATTCACAATATTAAGAACCAACCTTTGGGGAGCACGTTGGCACAAAAGCACCTTGGCAAACATTTTGGACTTAGTCGATTTTCAAGTAGTCTAAGGACTTAGAAAATAAGAATGGTGCAAAAAGTACATAAGACGTTGGCAAAATAGATTTCCATTACTTAGTAAAAGTTTAGTACATTGATACTTAAAAAACATAGAAAGCATAGAGAACAGAGCTCGAAGGCTCGGGATACATAGTATATATAGGGGGTCCAAAGAAAGAGGCAGAGAGTTCATTCTTCAATGGGAGGAGGATCACCACCATCCCTTTGAATATCCTCCCCGTTGATCAGTTGTTGTTGTCGTCATTATCCATCACGTTGTTGGGGCCGAGCTCGTCTCCTTCAAGCTCAGAGTCCGACTCCTCGCCAACCCGACCAAGCACCTCGTCAGAAACCTTGAAGCTGGTCAACCCGCCGAAATCAACCTCCAAGAAGAGCGACTTGGCAAACATACGGCAAATATTGAAGCCCTTCCAGAAGGTCGAGAGGGTGTACTCACCCTTGGCCACCTAGCATGCTAGCGAGATAAGGTAGTCTCGGACGGCCTTCTCCTGCGCTTGATGGATCTCATTTGCAAACTTGGACTTGCGCTCTTCGAGCTTGGTCCTTGTTTGCTCTAGCTTGTCGAGAAGGTCTTCTACACTCTTTGCTTGCTTAGCCTGMTCGGCCATCCCTCAAGCGACCTTAGCCCTTAAGTCCCTAATCTCGGAAACAGATGCCTCAACCTCCTTCTCCAGGACTTCGCATCGATAGTAGCTCGGCCCATGAGCGTGATCGCCAAAGCGTTAGCCTAAACCAAACAAAGCAAAGAAAAGAGGAAGTTAGTGAAAGGAAAATTGAAGAAGAGATCGGGTCGTAAAAAGGAGAGCTCAAAAACTTACTGCCACTACATAATGTAGAAGGACGTCGCCGATGACAACAAGGCGCTTCTTCTGGTATTCGGCAACCTCCTCAAGGACCATGACCACCTTGCTCAGCTCTAGTGCTGTGACCAGATTGAAGATAGAGCATTTATTCGAAGTCCCGACCATTGGGAGAGTGGACTCCCTGCTTGCCGTCCCACTCTATTGACCCATGGGTGTCCGGCTCCCTGAGGGATCTTGCAGCTCATCCTCAATGACGACGATCGGGCTCCCCTCACCCTTGGCCAATTTGGTTGCCTCTGAGACCTTGGCTCAGTAGGGGGGGGCATCCTTCATGGCAGTTTTTCTCTTCTTACTGTTCTTCATCCTAGAAAAGAGTCCGACAATGTTGACATCCACCATACCCTCTCCTACAAAGATGATATAAGATTAGTCAATATAGCCAAAAAAATGAAAGGCAACCTAAGTACTGCGGTGACGACCTACCCAGAGGACTAAGCCCAGTGTGGATCATCATCTCTTTCACCAAAAACTTGTTGATTAGGGATTTATGAGCTACCAAAACTTACACCCCCATCCGTAAGTGCTCATCTAGGTTGGACTCCCTGACGTCCCTAATGCCCTGCCTCCATTCAATGTTAAGAGTAAGGGTGAGCATTATTTGGTTAAAACCAAAAATTTCGGTTTTAGTTTGTTTAGTTCAATTAAATTGGTTTTTAGAATTACAAATTTGATTAATCGAATAAACAAAGCTTTGGTATATAATATGTAATATATAAAATATAATATGTAAGATATAATATATAATATGCAACATATAATATATATTAATATATGAAATTTGATTTCATAATATATAATATAAAATATATGTTATAATATATAATATAGTAAATATTATTAAAATTTGGTTTTAATCGAAATAACCAAAAACTTAACTGAATAAACTGAATGCTCACCCCCTAGTTAAGAGGCCACCCGCCATCCTTAGCCAAGAAG